GTTGCTGCCCCGGCCCTATGGAATGATCTCCCCGTAGAGATCCGGACCCTCACTACTCTTCCAGCCTTCCGTAAAGCTACTAAGACCTGGCTGTTCCGGCAGGCCTGGGACTGTGATTATCATACAGCCCCACTTTAAGTAGTATGTATGTTATGTAATTTTAAACCACTGTCTTTCTATTTTAATTTCTATATATTCCCTTGTTTTGTCTGTAAGCCGCCCTGAGTCCCTAGGGAGTGGGCATACAAATACCAATAAACTTCCAAACTTCCAAAACTTCCGTTTTCCCTGGCAGTGGCACCATGGGATGATGCTTTGCTGTTTCCAGAACAGCCCTACGGACCAGATCTAAGCACCCCGCAGGCCCGATCTGGCCCCCGTCCTTGAATTTGATACCCCTACACTAGACCAAACTGGCTAGTTGTTAATTAATAGGTAGTTCTCCAAATTATCTTTTATCACATACTGATATAAATATAATTACATTGGTACTCAGATTGCTTTTGACTAACATAAAGCTTCAGCAAATTAAAGAAACGCTCATTTTATAGAAAATCTAAAAAGTACAGCCCAGTGTTTTATACATGACTGTTTAGAGATATCTCATTAAATTGCATCACTTACTGCAGGCTGTTAGACTGCACTCATAATTATATGTATAAATACTGAATAAGATTGTAAAGGTCCATAGCAGAGTAAATTTGGACGAAATGAATCAAAACAAGATTTTATAAAGCAGAGGCAACCTGTACGTTTATTTTATATGAATGTATATCTGGTATCTGGTCATATTCTCTTCTTAAAATATGTCCATTTTTAAAAGCTTCTTTGCTTTAGCACACAGTGGCAGTTTTCATAGATGCAAATCTCTCCCAGGCTAGGATTTTGGCCTCCTCAGGATTTGTATTAATAGTTTAACATGTTATGTGTTTCTGTTTGGTGTGAACAACCAGATCCACAAGTGAAGAAGATAGCTATTTTATTGTTCATGCCTATTTCACAGGAATCTCCCCAGATCAGCGGTCTGCACCTGGACCAGACTAGACAAGGTTCAACTGCATTCAAGGAGGGGTATCACCTTTTATGCTTGCATAACAATTCTAGATTAATTCCCCACTTGACTTCTTGCTTGACTCTCTCTCCTACAGTTTCTATTGTATTTTAAGGTTTCTTTCTTTTTTTTACTTCAATGTCTGATGCAAAGAAATTGAAAGAAAGTAACACAATATTTGAATGATTTAAGATCATTTTTATGTTAGGATGGTTTATGCCTGGATGGGAAAACTTTTGAGAATTTAGGGATTATTTTTGGATTACAGAGAAGATACCTACTGATATTACCAAAATGTTGCATCTTTGCATTTTGGGCAGAGGGAAAGATTAAAATCTGCCCTGCTTTCCAACTGAGGCTGCACAGTGCTTGGAAATGAAGTTGGTAATTATTCCATTTGTCACTATATGAAATATTTACCTGCACTTCAGCTAATTTTGTATACAAAAATTCCTATGCTAATTTTATATGAAATATTTATCATTACACATCTTGCCATATGCTTAAACATTAAAATCCAGTTCTATAACATTATCTCATCTCTTTAAATCTTGTGATTAAAGTCTTTTGAGTACTCATTTTAATGAATGAAAAAATGAAATCTACATAGGTATTTGTGCCTGAGGGCTTCAGTGCCAAAGATAAAAAAAATTGACAAGTTTAACATTTTTTCGATTCCATGCCTCAGTACTAATATGTTCTATGCATCAGTGATTTTCAAAGAACAATCGGTGCTTCATGGCTTGATTTGATGTGTCCATTTAGGTAACTGCCTCACTGGCAAAAATTTTACACCAGGCATAGGTGTACAAGTTTATTTCCCAATGGCCAATCTGATTGACGGCGGCAATTCAAAGTTATTTTTCCAACCGGGCATCTTGGAAATTGCATGTGTGGAGCGACGAGCTACCGCTCCAGCCAAGTTTCTTGTGTATGTGGGTTTATTGCACTATGATCAAACTAAGAGCAGTCTGTGCTCGTGATTGCGTGTGTCCGTGGAGAAGATCTAAGACCAAGAAGGAAGGAGTGCGCCTCGTACTCGGGTTGAGGATTTTAAAAGTAAGCAACCTGCATACCGAACTTGCTTTCGGTGCCCCGAACTTTGACCAAATCGCATCCCCAACAATAGCCTGTGTGACTCTTAAAAGGCGTGGAGAGGTGAAATGAAGTTTATGTAACCCCGGTCCCAATGTGGACGTCTGCTAGATTCTTTTTCTCGTGTCGTGCTTCGCGAGGGAGGGAACCAAGGCAGGTGTCGCGTGCGGGGTACAAAAGGTGCTCCCCAGCAACTCCCGGCCACAGCGCGGCGCGCACGCGGGAGGGAAAGTTGCGAACCCCAAAGCGACTCGCCACCTCAGACTCCCCACTCCACCCCACCCCACCCCGCCTCTCCGCTCGCGCGACCTCCTTGCGGTCAGACACTCCGCCCCTCCTAACCGCCCCTCCTAACCGCCCTGTCTTCCGCAGCCAATCGGGCAGTCTCCTGCCACCCTTTCCCCACCCCCTTGTCCTCCTGGGAGTAGTGAGGGGAAGGCTGCGAGCTGAATACTACCCGGGGGGGTGGGTGTTGAAGAGAGTTGAATGATTGAACTTTTTTTCGGTGCTGAGTTTTCACTGCGCTGAGGCTTCGCCGCCGCCGCCGCCTCCCCTTCACTTGGCGAGGTGAAACGATGCAATTGCACGCGGTGCGGAGTGTTTAGAGCTGTCGGGGTTGTTTTCTTCTCCCGCACCCGGCTGAGCACAAAGCCATGGGGTTTAAAGAGCCCGGCGTTCCTTTGACTCTTCTCCTTTGGATTACCGCTTCCTGGGGCTCCCTGCCCAGCTGCGCTGCTTGGGCTGGAGAAACGGCAGCGGCGGCTCGCCAGCAGGATGAATTCTTCGCCACCAGTATTTATGGAGCCAGATGCAGCTCCAGGTGTCTCAGCTTGCAGATTACACGTATCTCCGCCTTTTTCAAGCATTTCCAGGTATGGAGAAAAACACCCAAACCAGTAGTCGGGCCGCGCTTTTATGAAACCCGAGCGACTTCTCGTTTCCTCCCTTGGCCAGGTCTCGTAGGACAGAAGTCCTTTGAATTCAATGGGATTTGTTCTTAGAGATACATAGGCGGTGGACCGCAGCCTTAGGCGGCTGTTTGGCTGATGCTCACAATTGGGCGCTTCACCGCTTAGGGTGCATTTATGAGTGCAGAAGACGAAACGGATGGGCTGAAATGCATTCGCTAAAAATTAAGACCTCCTCGGCACAATTTATTCCCGAGGGGACCTCAGGGAGCAAAACAGGCTCGCAAAGGCATAAGTCGACCCATTCTGAGCCGCTGGTACTCCATTGAGCTTTCCACTGAACTTTGTAGCTTCTTAAGAAGCTCGCAAGCCTGCCTTTTCCCAGCGAAATCGATCGAATAAGCTTCTTAAAGCTGTTCGTATTGGGCTGATCTCTTGACCCTAAGCGAGTTGTCCCATCGGATGACTGCTCCCATTTTGGGAGTCGCGCCGCTGGTTGACTTGGCTACTTTTTCAACCGGCGCTGATAGCGGAAGTGGCGATTTTAATTAGTATATAGAAGCTATGTTACCGAAGCGATTTAGTCATTTGTAACCGCTGAAGCTCGGGCTAGGTATGTTTGCGGTTTGAAAGGTGAAAACATATCATATCATAAATTTAAGCAGTTGTGTAACCTGGAGGTGGAAATTGCTTACATGAAGCAATAACTATTTTAAAGTGACAAAGTCGAAGATGTGTAAAAGAACATGTATCCATTTCTGAAGACAGTTTTAAGCTTGCCACCCTGTATGCCGTTTTACTCAAGAGTAAAACTTGTTGGCTTCATTGGAATCTGCCTAAAGTAAACTTGCCTAGTTAAAGTAGATCTATAATAATTAATCATGTTCCCCAAATAAAGAGTGGAGTGTATTTTGTTTTCGGAATTAATATTTATAATATGGTATGTCATGTGATGTATAAAGTGCCCATGATTTTCAGTATTTAAGATAAAAATAGAATGGCATGATTTTATATATGGACTTGATTTATAAACATCAAAGCCCTATTAGCAGTTTAAATAGCTTGTTGCCTTATTTTGATAAAGTTGATAAAGAAGTTGCTGGGAATCAGGTAACATATAACTTTAGAAATAAAGTCATTTTATTCTCCTTGTTCATTTGCTTAATTTTTGAAAATGTACAATCCCAGTGTATATGGGAATGTGAAAATTAGTTATTTAATAGAGCTGTGATAAAAAACTGATTTTGTATCTGATCCAGAAACATTAAAGATCCATTGACTTATCATTAGTAGAGAAACTTTATGAATAGCTTTCTGCACTATTTTTAATAGACGTCAACTTAAGACCTGTAAATTACTTGAGTCTCAAAATTACTGTTAATTGGAGTGATTTATATCTATTATCATCTCATTAAAGGGCTGTGTGGGATGTTTGTTTGATGTCTGTGTGTTTCTGCACGTATGTGTCTCCATATATTGAAAATGGAATGGGATAGCATTGCTATCTTAGTTTTTCTAACTTTGTGGTTGTTTTATTCAACAGATGTGTCTTTCTAAGAAGAATAGCAAGATATCAGTTTACTAACTACTAATTTGCTTGATTTTTGTCAGAGGAATCAGAGGTCAGAATGTCTCATTCCATTGACATAAATAGGTTATGATGTAACAGTTTGCACAGGTCTGTACACTATTGGGTTATTCACACATATTATTTTTTAAAGTGGTCCCTAAAAGCAAGAAGCTATTGTTTTCCTGTGGCTCTTTAGAGGTGACCCATTTAGTTTTTGTGGTTCTTGGAGTTATTTTGAAAAATCTAGTACATGGTTTGATGATTGTGTGCCCAGACAATCATGCTGGGATAATTCTATTTCAACATTCATGTATTCATAGTGTTTAGTGACATGTGAAGCATAAAAAGATGTAACTATTTTTCTTTGTATTTTTACAAAGAAAAATACAATTTTCTTTGTAAATCTCAGTTTAAGGATGAAGATTTCATTCTCAACATTTTGTTTTTGTTTGAAGTGTATCATTTTGCCCATGCTTGTATATTCACTTATGATATTATTTCTACTATGTTTTGTAGAAATTTCAAAAGTAACTGTAGCGCAGTGCTTGTATATTTCTGTGGATCATATTGGTCAAGTGAAAGAGGATTAGGATTTTCTGGATGCTCCTAACCCTACTTAAACTGTGTATCACATCTTCCCCACCTCCACCTTCACAAAATGGAATTGCAGTTGTTTGTTATACATTCATTGCCTCTGCATCTTAAACATCTCAACTGAAAAGCCCCACTAAATCCCATTGGGATGTTTTCCCAGCTTCTCAAAATCTATTAGATAATCTCTGCAACCAAACCTTTCAGAAATATATTCAGTAATGTCACTGGATATGATATACTGTACATATCTGTGAATCTGCTTCTGCTGGTGGGATTTCAATTGTTTCATGGAATTAAGCGACACAATAGAAAAGTGTCTCATTTAGCAGGATACACTGAAATCCAAAAAAGAATAAATGTTCCTTGTTTAATAAGAGGGCTTAGCCATGTTTCCAAGCTTATTGTATGTAATATGTTCAATCAATGATGTCAGCACCTATTATGCATACATGCCCTGAATTTACACCACCATATTCAGTTGGGATTCCTACAGTAATACCTTTAGACCAGTGTTTTTCAACCACTGTGCCGTGGCACACTAGTGTGCCGTGACATAGTGTAAGGTGTGCCGTGGGAAAAACACCCGCCGGGTGTTTTCAGCGGAGCTCTTCAAAACAAGACTTGTTGAATTCCGCAGGTTTTGAGGCCATTCACTTCCAACAAAAACCACTCCTTCCCCCAATAAGCCCGCCGTTTCGGGAGCGCTGCAGATTGGTCTGCTTGACAACCCCAGCCGGGGATTCC